TTTCCTGTGCCTAGTGCGGAGATCGTGGACGAGGTCCACGATGTCCGCACTAGCCCAGGAAGGGGCCCGCCTCTTGCGGTCCAGGGCAAGCTCCCGGGAGCCGCCAGCCTGGTCCCGGGAAGAGGGGGTGGGCTGGGGGACATCGGGTGGGAGGCTCGAACCGTGCCAGGTGCAGGGTCTGCTGGCTGGGTGCTGGCAGGCTTGCACCTGGCACGGGCACCGTAGCCAGCCCGTGCCCCTTTAAGGGGGCCGGGGCCGGGAGGGGGGCATAGAGTTTCCCTGGTGTTGGCCAGAGTGGCCACCAGGGAAACCTGGGGAGGGCTAGCCTCCCACTAGTTCGAACTAGGCTTAATCCTCGTAAAATGAGGATTACCTAGTTCGAACTAAGCGCTCCGCTAGTTCGATTCAAATTCGAACTAGCGGAGCGCTAGTGTAGCGGCTATGAATGTTAGTTCGAACTAACGTCCGTTAGTTCGAACTAACATTGTAGTGTAGACATACCCAAAGAGAGGTGGAGTCAGGTTTTTTTCAAATAAAGTGGCCTTTTTTTTGAAAAAACTTCACTTACGTCTAGACTGTCACTGAGTTCTTTTGAAATTAAATTGAAAGAACGTGGCAATTTTTTTGACAGTGATAAACCTCATTTTATGAGGAAGAATGTCATTTTTTGAAAGAGTTCTTTCAAAAGTAGGCATTCTTGAACACAAACAGGGCTTTTTCAAAAGAGAGCATCCAAATTGCCTGGGTGCTCTCTTTTGAAAAAGCGGATCACTTTTTCAAAAACAGTGGTGGCTGTCTAGTTGATCTCTTTTGAGAGAAGCTTTTTTAGAAGATTATTTCGAAAAAGCTTCTTTCAAAAGAAGCATGTAGTCTAGACGCACCCTCATGGAGCTGGAAAGAGAAGAGGTGGAACCACCCTAGAACCAAATTAAAAATAGGAGGGAACATGGGACAGAAAAGAGAGTGGAAAGGGGAAGAGACATCATACCACGGCGAAAGAAAACAGGGATGGACCACAGAACAGGGGAAAAATATGAAAGACAAAGAAGGATAGGAAAGCAGATGCTGCTTATTTTGAAGGAAACAGAAGTAAGGAGAGATGAGAATAGAAAGAATTTATAACTAAAAAAAGGAAGCAGAGTGTTAACTAAGCCAATTATGGGGGTAGATCAGAAAAGCTATCTTTGGAAGCTTCACGCACTATGCCAGGTGCCAGCCAATTTAGCAGTTATGGCTTGACGGGCATAACATTTACAGTATCTCTAATTTTTACCTCCCTACTTGAAACACTGAAGTTTCTGTATCACTGAACAAGCATTTGTCCAGCAGACATAGTAATTAATTTAACTGGAAGAAAATTGGCTAAACTATTGATCCACATGTCCCATCAGTAAAGCAATCCTAATTATGTACTCAAGAGTCCAATAAGTGCCATGCTGATAACAGGTACAGAAATTAGTAAAAAGATGACAGTCCTATAGCTCTCCAATAGGGACAATGACATCACAAAGCCCCGGCATTTGGCTTTTGCCAATGTGACTTTCTATGTCAAACGAGTATGGAAAGACACCTTCCAGTTTGCTTGGGTTATAATAAAAAAAACAAAAGGTCTTAACTTGTCTCTTGAACAGAAGGTTTGCTTGGGTTATAATAAAAAAAACAAAAGGTCTTAACTTGTCTCTGGAACAAAAGAAGATGGAGTTTCATGGCAGCCTAATCGCTTGCCTCCTGAGCTGTTCAAATAAACTTAGCATTTAAGTAGGAACTTGCATAAGTATGGTTCAGAGACTGTTTTCATATTTTATTAATTGTTTTGCTTCCAGAATGGGGCTGTTACTCTGCTTTTACTATCCAGTGCGGAGAGTGCTTCAAGCCTTTGTCGATCTTGCTTTATGAACAGTAAATTCCGCTCTTAAATGTCAACTTCACCAATAAATACATTAAAATCTTACCCAAACAGATTGTTTCAAGAGATTATAAAATGTTTTGCACATTTGATGTGCAATAACATTCCCTAGTGCTATTTATCTTGTTATTTCCCTCTAATTTGACTAGACTTGAAGCTTGAGGGTTCATCACAGACCAAGACCACATCAAACACCATGCACTTCTGATGAATACACACTACTGAGACTAAATATAACACATGCCACTCTCAGATGCACACTTCCAATTCCCCATACACTGAAACCAGTAGGGTCTTCTCAACAGCTGTTGGGGATCTCCATAAAGTGATGTAGCCCCACCTAATCTTCTAGGGCACAGCAGGGCAAAAGTCAAATTAAGCTACACAACTTGAGCTACATCAACTGTGAAGCTGAAGTCGAAATAGCTTAATTCGGCTTTTGACGCCATCTACACAGCAGGAAGTCGAAGGAAGAACATTCGTCCTTCAACTGTGCTTACTCCTTGTAAAATGATGTTTACAGGAGTCAGAGTAAGAAGTCCTCCAGCTCACCATTATTGTGAAATAATGGCTTTCCGTGTAGACACACTCTTTGTTATTTTGGAATAACGCTAGTTATTCCAAAATAACGCTGCTCTGTAGACATACCACTATATACTTGAGAGAGAATTTATAACTAAAGAACACCTCCTAAATGGTAAGAGCTAGGACTACCAAATTTGGTATGCAGCTTCCTCTTACAATAACTTTAAAGCAAGGCCAGGGTTTGGTTTTGCCAGGAAAATGTTGTGCCTGGAATGGGATTGGTTCTTATAAAACCATACCATGCCCCCTCCCCCCCCCCGCCCATTCATGTGGTAACATTGCTGACTGATCCTTTTGTCAGGGAGCAAGGGGAAAGTGCACTGTTTGCTGCATTCCTGATTCTGGCTGGGGAACACAGATGGCCGACAAACCTGGACCTGCCCCAGCTGAGGGACATGCACCCCTCCCCTGGCTGTGACCTGTGGAGCTGCAGAGGCCACGGAACAAGGGGAAAGTGCACTGTTTGCTGCATTCCTGATTCTGGCTGGGGAACACAGATGGCCGACAAACCTGGACCTGCCCCAGCTGAGGGACATGCACCCCTCCCCTGGCTGTGTCCTGTGGAGCTGCAGAGGCCACGGAGAGGGACTTCTCACTTTGCCCCAAGATACTGTGGTGGGAGAGAGGGGTAGGCCTCTCTCCCCAGCGCAGCTTGCATATTGAACCCCTCCTCCCAAACTCCACCCCAGAGCAAGGATTCCAATAAAGCATGTGCATTTTCATTTTTCCAAAAAACAAAAATTAATTGAGTTAAGGACTGGAGTAAAGCCAGGTAAATCTTCTAGTTACAAATAAAACCTGCAGCGTCATTGTAGTCTGAGCCATCATTTTTTTTAACAAAAAGGTAGTCCCAAAGGACTACTGCAGTAACCATAGGCTCAGACGCTCCTCAGGGTAAATCTAGTTCAAACCTTCTTCTAAAGAGTTACTCCCATTGCCTTTAGATTCCAGCACTACTGAGTCAGCAATAATTTTCCAGCCACTCCCTACAAGGTTCCAACACCTGATAAAAGTATGGGGGCAGCAGCAGAATTCTGTCCCCCTGTTACAATCCAGCTAGAGGCTCAGCTGAAGAGAAAATCATTACTCTAGGGTGACAGCTCCTCCAAGAAGAAGTGAGATGGAGCTCTGGCACTTAAAGGGATGTTGGAAATCAGCAGTTTGTTTCTTGGAGCAAGGGAAACACCACAACGGAGGTAGAGAGGAATGATAAAAATGAAATTATTGTGCTGCAGTCCCTGCTTTGAGGTAGTGGTGGGAACAGATAGGGTGAGGGAAACACCCTCCACTAGAATATAAAGCAAGAGGGGGAATAAAAAAAGCTTTAATGCTTCTGGAAATGCAAAAGCAGGAAAGAAATACTGTGTTGCACTGGCATAATGGAGACTTGACATCAGTGTGGCGCTCCCGAACTCTGCCCTCCAGACTTCCTTCTTTTTATACAATTGCCCATCACTGTGGAGTCTGAATACTTGCACAGCCTCAAGTTATGTTGGAGATGGAACAAGTACCACACTTCTGCTGGAGAGTTCAGAGGGATTACTGCCCCCAGAGACAGTTTTCAACTGTGAGAGCTGGAAATGCAGAGTTGTCCTTGGAATAAAGGGCTAAATTCCATGGTGGCCTTCATAATGGTGTTGGTTTCAAGTGGAAATGCTGGTATAACTTATACACTGAAGGCACGGTAGTGTGTGGTTGTAGCAGAAACTGCAACCAACAGGAGGATATCATATGAAGTGCAATGACAAATGTACACACATTTTACTGGTATGTAACTTGCACCTCCATTGATATCACATCTGAATTTGTCTCTATGTCTAAATGGTGTCTCGTTATACAGTATGGGCTCGTCTACATTGGCCCCTTTTCCGGAAGGGGCATGTTAATTTCACGAGTCGTAATAGGGAAATCCGTGGGGGATTTAACTATCCCCCGCGACATTTAAATAAAAATGTCCGCCGCTTTTTTCCGGCTTTTAGAAAAGCTGGAAAAGAGCGTCTACACTGGCCCCGATCCTCCGGAAAAAAAGCCCTTTTCCAGAGGATCTTATTCCTACTTTGAAGGGCTTTTTTTCCGGAGGATCGGGGCCAGTGTAGACGCTCTTTTCCGGCTTTTCTAAAAGCCGGAAAAAAGCGGCGGACATTTTTATTTAAATGCCGCGGGGGATATTTAAATCCCCCGCGGATTTCCCTATTACGACTCGTGAAATTAACATGCCCCTTCCGGAAAAGGGGCCAATGTAGATGTAGCCTTTGTGTAGTACTTCATATTGGGGAGTTTTCTCTCAGGAGAGGGATCTAAGCTGTCTGTCTTGTAACAACCAGCTGCTAGTAAAAAATGTTACTCAGACTAACTCCTCCCTCACTCTATGATTGATAGTCCAACATCATATAAGTCTGATATGCAGGTTAACAGTGAGCTAACAATGCAGGCCAGTCCCATCCCCTAAACAGGCACTACCCTGAATTTTTACCTGTCTTAAAAACAAGATTTAATACACAATACTCACTGGTTTTAAAGTGAACTTGTCACTAAGCAGTTGTTCCCTACAAAATTCCTTTTACCCATCACCTCATGGCATTTTTTTCATGGACGTCTCTTCCTGTGGATCCTATTTCACTGAGGACTTGCTGTGTCCTAACCTAAACAGAAGGCCATATGATCAGCCCATGTGTCCTCTGCCCAATGACCCGCCCTGCCTTGCACCTGCCCAGAAGTGCTGTACTCTTCCCACTCCACGTTATCTGTGATGGAAGGGGGCTCTGTCCTTTTCTGCTTGTGCCTCCCCCTGCTCATTCAGCTGCTTTCCCTGGCAACCAGGTGGGGAGTAGGAAGGATGTGCTTCTGACTGAGAGTCCGGCTGGGACACTGAATATGCTGTGTGTGTGTGTGTCCTATCCTCAATAGCAGGAGCCAGCCTGCTGCCACCCCAGCTGCTAAGAACAGATGCTGAACGAGTCAGCATGTCCCCACCACAGCATGTTCAGCCTCTGTCCCTGGCAGATGAGTCTGGACAGGGAGAGGCCCTCACTCCTTACTAGCCAGGCTCTCAGGCAGAAGTGGCTCTGTCCTGTTTCCTGCCAGGCTGCCAGGGAGAAGGGCTGAATGTATGTGTGTAGGGTGGGGCTCATAGGAGGAGGGGAGAACACAGGGAGAGGACAGCCTGTCCTCCTTCTCTGCCTCAGACAGGTCAAGTTGGGGGGAGGGATCTTGCCCCCCCACACACACATATTGCCTGATAGACTGGAGTTTGTTATGTGCTTGCATTGCACAAGGAGAACGATTGCTCCTAAGCCTTAGTAATAATAAATTGAGAATTTTGGTGTCATTAGCTCCCTTTTACTGATAGGAATCTAAGACACAGTGAGGTGGACTGATCCACCCAAGGTCACACACAGTAACTGACAGAGTCTGAAATAGAATCCACGAAACAGATCCTCCATCGGGGCAAATCTGTACAGCACCATTGATCTGGCCCAAGGTGTCTTAACTCCCAGTCCCCGGTAGTAATCAGATAACACTGCCTTTTTATGGCGCTTCTGCAGCTAGGGCATCTATTTCTCCTTGTCTAGAAGGACAGACTTTACTGGTGTTATGGAAATAAAGAGGAAAAGAATTCCCAGTCAAATCTTATGTGTCATGTATATTTTTATCCCACTACAAGTCTGATATTCTAGAAGGTTTGTCATTCAAGGGCTGACAAAATTAAAGTTCTAGATTTCCCCATTTCTAAATTTTGATTGATCAGAATGATCGCTTTGCATCCAAGTGCATATACAATATATACAAATGAAGCGCAGCATCCAATACCATATTTCTCACCTGCTAAGTGACCTTGGGCGGGTCATTTCCCCTCTTGGTGCCACAGTTGCCCCACCTATACCATATAAAGCACTTTGAGATCTACAGATGGAAAGCTCAATATAGGAACTAGGCATTATTATTAATTTATTTTATACTAGGGATCTGAGAGGTTAACTGCAAAGCATCACTCTAAATGGGTAATGCTTACCAGTTTTGATTAACTGGTAACCAGTGGGGGCTGGAGCAGCTCCCCTCCTGTCAATGGCAGAGGAATACGCCAGCCCCACATGGGGCCCATTGCAGATGGGGCTGGGAGCTGGAGCCCCATGGGATGGGAGTGGGCTAGAGCAGTCCCCAGCCCGGATCCTACTTAGTTGGTTAACCGGTTACGCATTAGGTTAACCTAATGTTCAACCAGTTATCTGATTAACCAAGATTTTACATCCCTATTTTATACAGTGCTTGGCTGTTCCCTCTGTCTATATTAGAAGGTGTCTCATGAACAGCTATTAGGTTAAAGGGGCACTAGCAAATTAAACTGTTTTTCCCTAGTTACAATAGTAGTAACACATTTGTAAATCAGTTTCACTCTGTGGTTTCTAATGAGGTTTGACCTTTACAGTTTGTTTTTGTATGTTATTCCCTGAGCACATTGAGAGAGTTTGCTGACACTTCTGGTTGCTTGACGCTCTCATGCTCCCAGTGTTATTTCATCTACCTCAGAAGTTAGTGGAGTCTCTCCCCTTCATTCTGTAACAATACTAGGTGAGCAGAATAGCAGCTTCAATTGGTGTGGTGGACAAGAGGACCTGAACACACTGACTATTTGACTGGGCAACAAAATGGCAGATGAAATTGAATGTTGAAAAATGCAAAAGCAATGCACATTGGGAAACATAGTCGCAATTATACATACAAAATGATGAGTCTAAGTTAGCTATTGCCATTCAAGAATTAGGGTAATGGCCTGGCACCCAACCTCTCACAAATACCCCCTTCTGGTCAGGTGTGTCTGTAGTCTTTAAACACCTGGCCCTGGAGTCGGGCCATAGTCCTAGGGCTTCCTCCCTGAAGGCAATGGTTTGGCTCTTTCTGGGCCCTTCTGGCCCCAACTGGGCCATTAAGTAGTTCAGATACTCTTCTGAGGCCTCATCACTGCCTAGTTGTAGGCTACATTCCCTGTGTCCCATGGGTGGTGGTGGTGGGGAGATGCAGGCCCACCCACTACTCTGAGTCCCAGTTCCGGGACTCTAATAATAGCAGCCGCATATTGTTATGTCCCTTTAACAAAACTGCTTTCAGTTCCCTGAGACATTCCCTGCAACCCCTGCTTTCACAAATGCTTTACCCTTAGCTCAGGGCTCTTCTGTATTCAGGCACCAGCCAGGAACACCATCTGCACCTCTTTCAGCTCCAGCAAGGAACTGAACTCTAATCTGTTTGCACTGCAGCTCCTTTTATACTAACCTACAACCTCCTGATTGGTTAGCCCCTAGCAGCCTCTCTTGATTGGCTGCTTCCTGAACAATCTCTCTAGGTTGCTTGGAGGACTTAGCTCCATGGCTCCTTTCCTGGGATGGGTGTGGCAGGATTCTGAGTCCTACAGCAGGACATCTCTGGACCTGGTCAGCACCATCACACTGAGATCCTGGAATTATTGAGGACGTGTATCTGAAACTGTCTTCTTAAGGTACAGCAATAGTCAAAAAACCTAACAGAATGTTAGGAACCATTAGGAAAGGGATAGATAATATGATGCTAACATATAAATCCATGGTACACCCACACCTTGAACATGGTATGCAGTTTTGGTTGCCTCACTTCAAAAAGATATATTAGAATTAGAAAAGGCACAAAGACGGGCGACAAAAATTATTAGGGGTATGGAACAGCTTCCACACGAGGAGAGATTAAAAAGACTGTGATTGTTCAGTTTAGAAAAGAGATGACTCAGAGGGGATATGATAGAGGTCTCTAAAATCATGAATGGTGTGAAGAAAGCGAATAGGGAAATGTGATTTACTCCTTTACATAACACAAGAAATAGGGGGTCACTCACGTAATGCATTTAAAAGGCTTAAAAGGTTTAAAACAAAATGTTTAAAACAGCTATCCCCAATTAGTCGATCGCTATCGACTGGCTGATTAAGGGGGTGACGACAGTCAATCTCCGTCGCAGTCCCACGTTTTCCCCCTTTCCCGTGTGTTTTGCTGCAGCAGTCGGGTGCTTTCACAAACCATCAAGTGAACTCAGAATACAGGCTGCAGGGGGCTGTAACCCCAGGCTGATTGGCTGATTTGCTGATGCCTTCCTAGCGAGGGGTGTGTGTGGAGGAGGGGGGGTTGTATTTTCTTTGAAAGGTATTTAAAGAGACAGGGAGGTGTTGAGAGGGGTGTGGGCTGGCTCATTGCTTTGAATTGCTGCTAGGTTCCTTCCTCTGATTCTAAAGAGGAGTCAGCAGAAAACTGACCTGAACAGAATCTGTGTCTACAGCACAGAAAAAGTTCCAGCAATGCCTAATGGGTCAACGTGCTTCCTTTCCATAGCCAGCCAGAAGAGACTATATGGGGGGAATCCCCCACAGCCCTCCAGTCCTTGCAGGCTCCCAGCTGTAGCAGCAGGCTGGGGGAGTGGGCGGAAGGGAACTACCAGGGATGAGGCTGCAGTAACTTCAGACAAGGAGGGAAAGTGCCTGTGACTTCCCGAAGACAATCCAGTTCCTTTGTGGGGTGTTCAGCAAGAAGAGCATGCGGCTGAAATAGTTATGACATTGGCAGTTATGTGCATGTGTCTGTATGATGGGGAGCTGTCTGAGGGACCATCACAATCAGCGCTTTTATCAGTATCTCTCAGGAAAATAAGGTCTATTGGCAAACCTCACATTTGCCTCCCTTCTGCCCCCAGTCCCATGGCCAAGCCTCTGTTCCATGTGATCCCGGCTTCCTTTTCACTCCCAGCTCTCACTTCACCTGCTCCTTCCTCTACCCTAGTGAGCATAGAGCCCCATCTTCCACAATCCACTTTCCCTTTACTGACTCTACTCTCCATTTCACCTCCCCTGCCCTGTTTCCCTCAAAGCTTCAACAGAGCCGGTTTCCCTGTGGAATTGATTTGGGCTTTTTAAAAATACAATGCATGCTGAGGTTTCTTTTTCTTGCAGTGGAGTGGATTTGCTGAGGGGGAAAATGCAAAGCTCTGCTTCCCACAAGCATTCAGGGGTTTTCTCCATGGCTTGAGGCTTGCTCAGCACCCCAATCCCCCACTTGGCCTCAGTACTCCCCAGCCTGGAGCCCCCTCCCCAAGCCAGCATCCCCTTCTCCACCCCCACCTGCACCCAGATTCTCTCCCAGAGCTTGCACATCTCACCCTTTCCCTCACTCAAATCCCTCATTCCTGCCCCAGAGCCTGCACCCACCTGTCTCAACCCAGTGAAAGTGAGTAAGGCCTGGGGACAGCACGTGATGGAGAGGGGGAGAATGGGGTGGGTGGGGCCTTGGGGAAGGGGTGGGGTAGATCTTGGCTTGCCCTGAGATTTAAAAAGTGATCTTGGGTGTAAAAAGGTTGGAGACCACTGGTTTAAAACAAACACATTCTTCTCATAATGCACAGTCAACCTGTGGCCCTCATTCCAGGGGGTATTGTGAAAACCAAACGCTGACTGGGGTAAATAAATTACATAAATTCATGGAGCATAGGTCTGTGTCTGGCTACTAGCCAAGATGGTCAGGCACACAACCCCATGTGCTGGATGTCCCAAAACTCTGACTGCCAGAAGCTGGGACTGGATGACAGGGGATGGATCACCTGATAATTATTCTTTTCTATTCACTCCCTCTG